AGATAGATAGATAGATAGATAGATAGATAGATAGATAGATAGATAGATAGATAGATAGATAGATGATCTGTAGTACTCCTACAGGTCTTACAGGTTTTACATTCCACCTATTGGGGCCAGGACAATGAGGTGATTCTGAAACAATTAGTATGTTTATCTTTATCAGTATCTAACCTTATGTTCCCTTGCTTCCAAACTTGTTTCTCAGGTTGATTGAAAATTTAACTAGAGAAGGTTTTTGGATGGGAAATTGGATTTTCCACTCAACAATTTTTTTCGTGAAATTATCTTTTCCCTGGAAATTATCAGATTTCCATCAAAAAAGCCAAACTCCCCTCCTCTCCAAACCATGGCTGTGGGACTCTGGTGATGTTCCAGGGCAGTTCAGCAAGAGGAGAGACCATCATGCATCATGGGGGATATAGTCTAGCCTGGGAGCCTGGCCCATGGAAGAGATTGGTGGTGTGTGGTATTGGATGCAACCCAGTGGTATTTCCAAGCCGAAATGTTAAGTTTTGAGCCAAAAGATTTCAGTCTCCACAAACAAACCCCCTTTGTGGATCAGCTCTACGTAGTACCCAACTTGCACTGAAAACAGAAGGATGAAATCTACCCCTTACCTCATACTCCGTAACTCTGGTAGAAATTGCATCATTTAATAACACAGTTGGAAAGAGTGGGCCAAATTAATCCCCGGGGCATGAGTTACCCCAAGGGTGGCTTTAGTTCACTGAGCACATTAATTAGGTTCTGTTTCTCTCTGAGCTCAGGAATTCCCAGTTGCTTCAGGGATCATGTCTCATAGATCACAAATCTCAGTATAAAACTTCCCGAATGCGACAAACTGGCAGTTTCTATCAATGAGGAAACAGCAACACATCTCTCTCTCTCTCTTCTAAGCTGGTACGTGCAATTGTCCAGTATCAGAGTGACACACACATGCAGACATTTGGTGATCAGCAGGTATTGAATTCATGACCTCTAGCACTAAAAGCCTCAGCCCCAACTCGTACCACTTCAGCTAAAGGAGCGACCTCCTTGCTTGGAAAAAATAGGCAATTACATAGTCACTGAAGCCAGTGCTTTCCATTATGTCTCTGGGTTTTCATACAGGTTACACTAAATGCTAAAAAGCTTAATTAGCACAGTAAGGAAGTGTTACCCCAAACCGACATGCCAAGCCACAGAGCTCACCCTGCCCAAAGAGGGTAGAAAGATTGACACTCCTTTGATCTCACCCTTTCTCTAGCTAACAAATAATCTCTTCAGAGTGAGATGATTTTCACCCTGATACTCATACAGCAGAGACAGAAGTCACATCTTGCTGCTCGGATTAGTAAACAGGAGTGTTAGTGTGTGGGGAATGATTAACCTGTGTGTCATTGTATTTATGCAGTTTGTATTTTATTGAACAACTGGAATGAGCAGCTGTGAACATCTGGATCTGTGGATTAAGCCCTTCCCTGAGTGGGTACAA